ATTTATTGTGTTTATTCCCTGGGATGAACTCATGTTCTTCATACATCCTTAATCTGTTAGGGCAAAGAAAGACCAACCCAAGATAAGCATCCCTTTTTGCATCATTTCCTTGTGAAACAAAGAAGAGAGGGGAAGGGATGTAAGAATCTGTTCGTCTAGAACCAGAAAAATCTCAGCGCCAGAATCGTTATCTTCATTAATTTCTAAATAATGAAATTAACTTCAGAACCTGAAGTGGAGGTGAAGTGAAGTCTGTCTGTTGGCTTCATCTTTGGTAACTAAAGAATGATAGGGCCTGATGAGAACCTTGTTCATTTTGTGCATTGAATACTTTTAATATGAAAACCTCCTTGTAAACCGATGATTATTTGAATTGATAGTAAAAATCACATGCTCATTAAAGCATTCCATTTGAATATACCTATCATGTAAAATGACTTCAACGCTAATATAAAGTATGGTCCTCATTTGAACAGATTAGCTGACTATGTATATTTCAAATCAGCCTAAAACTTCTCTGACATCTACCATTCCTAGTTATGTATTTACGGCAATGAACTTAAAAGGTCAGATGTCATGTTTAAACTCCAGTGGTAAATATGTGCAGGCAGATCATACAAACAGTTAGATGTAATTTAAATTTGTACCTCTTCCTAGATAGCTTTTCCTGTTATGCTAGTCACTATTAGTAAAAACTGAGAAAGCTTTTATCGTGTATTCAACACTGTGCTGATAAACAACAGAAATTAAATCCACGGTAGCTCACAGACAGCACCACCACTTGGGAAGCTGGAAGCCACATGGGAGGCCTGTGTTCAGTTCCTGGGCCAATCTGGACATCAAGACCCTGTCAAAAATACCTATCTGTGTCTTTCTCAGTAAAATGGATTACAAGTGTGAAGGGATTAAAATAGCTGTGATACGTTCTAGAGATAGTTAATAAATGAGTCATGTCAAAGTTGAAGACTAATTTTGGTGAGTAGTGGAAGATGCATCCTCAAAGCTGAGTGGCAGAAGACATTTGTGCCCTGCTAAAGAAAATAAACCTAATTTCATACACAACAGAGAACTACTGAGGCTATAGCAAATAGTTTGCATATGTATAGTAAAGTCTTGCCTGTGAAATGCTTCTGTATGTTAAATCTGGTGGGTTCGGCTTTTTGCCCCAGCTGATTCTTCATAATTATTAAGAAACATCTTTTAAAATATCTCGTAGGGAACCAGCAGTTAGCGTAATGGCTATGTCGCTGGATTCCCACATAGTCGACCGCGGTTCGCGTACCGGACCCGGTGGCTTAAAACTCACGCCGGGCGCGTGTGCGTGCGTGCCCAAGATCCCAAGAGGAGAATGGAGGAGAAGGGATTGCGGCGTGACCATCCCCCCTGGGGGGTGATTTCTTGC